GATATGGTAAACATGAGGAAATTAAATCTTCATCAGAGTACAAAACAAATTCTGGCCACAAAATAGAGCGAAACACCAACGTCAAAGACCTGGGAGTGATTATGTCGGAGGATCTCACCTTCAAGGACCATAACATTGTATCAATCGCATCTGCTAGAAAAATGACAGGATGGATAATGAGAACCTTCAAAACTAGGGAGGCCAAGCCATGATGACACTCTTCAGGTCACTTGTTCTATCTAGGCTGGAATATTGCTGCACACTAACAGCACCTTTCAAGGCAGGTGAAATTGCCGACCTAGAAAATGTACAGAGAACTTTCACGGCGCGCATAACGGAGATAAAACACCTCAATTACTGGGAGCGCTTGAGGTTCCTAAACCTGTATTCCCTGGAACGCAGGAGAGAGAGATACATGATTATATACACCTGGAAAATCCTAGAGGGACTAGTACCGAACTTGCACACGAAAATCACTCACTACGAAAGCAAAAGACTTGGCAGACGATGCACCATCCCCCCAATGAAAAGCAGGGGTGTCACTAGCACGTTAAGAGACCATACAATAAGTGTCAGGGGCCCGAGACTGTTCAACTGCCTCCCAGCACACATAAGGGGGATTACCAACAGACCCCTGGCAGTCTTCAAGCTGGCACTGGACAAGCACCTAAAGTCAGTTCCTGATCAGCCGGGCTGTGGCTCGTACGTTGGTTTGCATGCAGCCAGCAGCAACAGCCTGGTTGATCAGGCTCTGATCCACCAGGAGGCCTGGTCACAGACCGGGCCGCGGGGGCGTTGACCCCCGGAACTCTCTCCAGGTAAACTGTATCAGTCTATTTAAATCATCCTGGAGTCCTCTAGTGTCCTCACTGAAATGAATTGGACGGCCTATTTTGGCGTCATCAGCAAATTTGCTTAAGTCGCTATTTATTCCCTCACCCATGTTGTCTATGTAAATTGTGAACAACAATGGGCCCAACACTGACCCCTGTGGAACATCACTTGTGATATGCCCCCATTCTGACTTCTCCCCATTTATGCAAACTCTCTGCTGCCTATTTGTCAACCATGCCTCTAACCAAGAAAAAATTTCTCGTCCTATTCCATGTGCCTTAAGTTTTCTCAACAGCCTCTGATGTGGAACTCTATCGAAAGCCTTAATGAAGTCCATATACACAATATCATGTTCAATACCATGATCTACCTCCTCAAATACCTTAGTGAAGAAAGTTAGTAAATTCGTAAAACAGGAAAGCCCCTTCGTAAAACCGTGCTAAGATTCATTAATTAATTTATGCCTTTCAAGATGGCTATGAATTGCTTCGGCAATTATTGATTCCATAAATTTACCAACTATGGAGGTAAGGCTTATTGGTCTATAGTTCAAAGCTAAAGACCTGTCACCTGCCTTGTAAATAGGTATTACATCTGCCATTTTCCATTTGTCTGGCACTATGCCAGTTTGCAGTGGTATAGTGAAAAGATTAGCCAAAAGTATGCTATGTTCCTCTTTACATTCCTTTAATACCCTTGCAAACAGTTCATCAGGGCCTGGGGATTTGTTAGGTTTTAATTTCTCTATTTGTCTGAGGACCATGTCACTAGTTACCCCAATAGTGCATAGTTTATTATCGTCCTGTTCTACATAATTTATTATTTCTGGCATTTCGCTAGTATCTTCTTGTATCACATTGCTCTTTCCTATGTTCATTTTTAATTTCCTTCTTTTACATACCCTCCCAAATTTGTCTTCTAAGCTTCGCAACTTCTCTTAACTCTCTCCCACACGCACCGTGTCATTGACAAAGAGCAACTGTGACAACTCCCACTTTGTATTAGATTCACTGTATTTTTTTTTTAACACATCAGCCATTTCTCACCGAGGCAGGGTGACTTAAAAAAAAAAAAAAAAAAAAAAAAAGAAAGAAAAAATTTTCATCATCATTCAACACTTTCACCATCATTCATACATAATCACTGCCTTTGCAGGCACTCAGATATGACAGTTTAGATGTCACTCCAAACAGTCAATATCCCAAACCCCTCCTTTAAAGTACTACAGGCATTGTATGTCCCACCTCCAGGACTCAAGTCTGGCTAACCGGTTTCCCTGAATCCCTCTACAAAATATTACCCTGCTCACACTCCAACAGCTCGTCAGGTCCCAAAAACCATTTGTCTCCATTCACTTACACGCTCACACACGCTTGCTGGAAGTTCAAGCCCCTCACCCACAAAACCTCCTTTACCCCCTCCTCCAATCTTTCCTAATACGACCCCTCCCTGCCTTCCTTCTTCTACAGATTTATATGCTCTCCAAGTCATTCTACTTTGTTCCATCCTCTCTAAATGACCAAACCACCTCAACAACCCCTCTGACTAATACTTTAATTAGATTCTTTATATCTCCTTTGGAAAATATGCATCTAGCCAAATAACAGCAGCTTTTCAATTTTTTGATACTACTTGACAGGGCTGAAAAGTATTTCTTCACTAATTCCTTAGAAATGAGGCATAATCTGTACATCCTGTTACTGTGTTTGTCAATTGCTCTGAGACAGCCTTTTGTAAGTCATGGGTTATTTTGCCTTTTTGTTGTTTTATCTTTTGTGAGTGGTGTATATCCTAGTGATGTTCAGCAACTCTGAGAAAGCTTTCTACTCCAGAATTTGCATTCTCATTGATATTCAGCTCCCTTTCCCAATTGTATGTTTAATGGTTTCAGTGAATTTGTCAACTGAAGCATTATTATAATTGAATGGTATTTTTTGTTTTGAGCAGTCTTTTTTATGATGTTAGACATGTAAGGTAGTGGTTTGCTTTCTTGTCTGTGAGTATTCATGTACTCTGGGGTGCTGCTATATTGTCCAGATATATCTAGGAAAAATGTCAGTGCAAAATCTAGCTTTTAGTTTTATGATATGGTGTAGAGGGCATGAAATATTTGCTTTCAAATACTTACATGGGGTATAAATTTGCATAGTTTATGTTTCAATCTCATATCCAGGATTTTTAATCAATTAAATTTGTTCCTTTTGTTGTTTTATTTTGTGTTAGTAAAGTCGCATGTTTGCATGTGGTATTCTGTAAATTGCACAATTGTTATTGCCTGAATGCATTCTCATTTGAATTGAGCCTTCCAATTATATTTACCATATTCATCACTGTATTTTGGTTACATAACTGAATTCAGTTTTCATTATGGAAATAGCTTGTTACACAACCCTTCTCGTTTGGCCTACAGCTATGATAGCGTGTAAGTACCAGGTGTGTTAACCCTTTGGGGGCTTTCGGCGTATATTAGTCTTCTGTCTTTCAACCATCGCCGTATCCACAGGGGGGGCCAAGGAAAACGAAAGTTTTCCTGTTTACATTTAGTGAATATATCAGGAGGAGGTACTAGCCCTTTCCCGCATTTTATGGGGTCTTAAATTGCATGGTTGTAAGGAGGAATTTGTTCCACTCTTTTGAATAAGAGGAAATTAAACAAGATAGAACTATGAAAGAATAATAGAGATAACCCAGAGGGGTGTGATTATGTGTTGTATGTATGTGTATGTGACCTAAGTGTAAGTAGAAGCATACTATTTAATTGAAATCTATGTTCCATGAGTCAAAAAAAGACCGAATCCTACATCATTAAAACTAATTACAGGCTTTCAGTTTTACCACTGCCGTTCTGTTGCCTCCTGGTGGTTGGTACCGACCATGCTAACCTTTGGTTAGTAACGTCTTATGACACAGAATTTTTGACGTACTAGTACGCCTAAATTCTAGCGCCCTCAAATCTAGCGAGAGAAAGCTGGTAGGCCTACATATGAAAGAATGGGTCTATGTGGTCAGTGCATGCAGTATAAAAAAAATCCTGCAGCACACAGTGCGTAATGAGAAAAAAAAAACTTTGATCGTGTTTTTGGATTAAAGCAGCGACTTTGCACTGTATTTTCGTATGGTATTTATTGTTGTAATCTAGTCTTCTTGGTCTCATTTTATAGAATGGAAGACATATTACAGAAATTGAGATGATTTTGACTGGTTTTACAATGAAAAGTACCTTGAAATTGAGCTCAAAGTAGCAGAAATGTTCGATTTTTACCAAAGTTCAAAAGTAAACAAATCATGCCAAGCATCCAATACACATCAAGTGGTGAGTCTAATATTCTTTCACAAGTGTGCTGATATTATTTATACCATTTCTACACTAATACAGTAGTCTGCATAACAGTAAATCTTATTTTTTTTGTAAGAATAATAATTCAAAGTGGAAAGCCAAAGAAATATAAGAGGGGCCTGGGGATGTGACTAATGAACAGAGAACTTGTTATTTTAGTGCCAGGAATGTCTTTCTTGTTTATTCTGGATCCTATTCAGAAATTGGCATCTTTTGAAATTTGTGTGAAATTGGAAAAATTGCTAAATTCTGACCACTTTATTGGATAGTTGAAATCAGTAAATGGGTGGTTTCTTGTACTCATTCGATAGAAAAAATGGAGTTCTAGCGAAATAGTTATGATTTTTGTCGACTAGTACACTGGAATTGGCCGAAAATTGGGCTCAAAGTGGGCAAAATCGCTGATGCGTAAACATCGTCGAGACAGCTAACTTCGCGAGAGCATAATTCTGTAAGTTTTCCATCAAATTTCATACTTTTGGTGTCATTATGATCAGGAAAAGATTCTCTATCTTTTCATAAGAAAAAAATAATTTTTTTTTTTAAATTTGGCCGACCCTGAGAACAAGTCTCTGAGAGGACCTGTTGACCCCCAAAGGGTTAAATACATTAGTAAAATCACCTTTTAGCCAAGCCTCAGTTACTATTTAAAAAAAAAAAAAGAGAGAGAAATCAGTTTAGAAACCCAAGCAATGCTATTATGAACATCTTTTTTAAGTTTTCCCTCCAATATTTTCTATCCTCTTCTGTTTCATGGTAGTAGTAAATACTTACATAACACTATCAGATTTAATATTAGTGGACTGAGAAAAAACTTTTGACTAGTCACCTGTGAATGTCTCCGTGTAGTTCCGTCCTCATCATCATCTTCCTCCACGGCTGAATTATTGAGGTTAAGATGCCGAGACAGGCAAGATAATAACTTAAGGAGAGAAACCAATTCATTGTGTTGTTCTCGAGACAAACCACTTCCCTGGAAAATAAATTAAACTGCCCTATATGAAAGAAAATGCTTGCTGCATGTAGAACATGTAAATATACAGAAAAAATATAAATTTGATAATGTTAAGCACACACACAGTAAAAAAAAAGCAGCAAATAATACTAGGAAAGTATTTGGGCTTTTGTTATCTTTGGTCTAATTTTAGTATAAACAGCAGATGGAGACAAATATTGTGCTGTCAGAAAATAAGTTTGTTTACATCAAAGACAATAACCACTTGAAACCTTAGCAACAGAAAAAATAAACAAATCAATACATACACTAATACATTACAGGATATTTCCCCTACTGGGAATACATTAGTTTTCTTTGTTACTTACCATGAGATCCTTAAGGTGACTAAGACGAGAAATATATGGTGTGAGGGTAGCGTTGAGGTAGGTCATGATAGTAGGCTGGTCCTTGCCCACTGAGAGTACTCGGCTTATTATTGTCATGATACGCTCAGTTTCTGCACTGTCCAGCCGACTCTGTTCCAAAGCTCTCTGTAATTAAATTTCAATTGCTTTTTTAATAAACTCTTTCCAATACTCATACGTATTTCTTGAAGGGGGTTTTCTTTCCTCAGTTCATTATAGCACACTTAAAATGAATGTGTTTGCTTGGAGTAATTCTCTTATTTTTTCCTTATTATTATTTCTCTATGCAAGAAAGAGGAGAGTGTTTAAATTATATTACAATCAAACCTGCTTGGAGAATACTTCAATAAAATTTTCAGGTACACTTTCAACATACATTAACCCTTTGACTGTCACAACCCCCAATCCTGAGGTGTCTCCTGGTGTCGCAAAATTTAAAAAAAAAAAAAATATTTTTTCTTATGAAATGATAGAGAATCTTTTCCCGATTGTAATGACACCAAAAAAAAACGAAATTTGATGGAAAACTGACGGAATTATGCTCTCGCAAAGTTAGCGACCTCGGCGCTGTTTACAAATCGGCGATTTCGCCCACTTTGAGCCCTATTTTCGGCTAATTCCATTGTTCCAGTCGCCCAAACTCATAGCTATTTCTTTAGAACTCCATTTTTTCTATTGATTGAGTACAAGAAACTGCCCATTTACCGATTTCAACTACCTGATAATGTGGTCAGAAATTTGCAATTTGGCCAATTTCACGAAAACTAAAAAATATGACAATTTCAAAATAAGGTCCAGAATGAACAATGCAGACATTCCTGGCTCTAAAATAACATTTTCTTTGCTCATCAGTCATGTCTCCAGGCCCCTCTGATATTACTCTTGCTTTCTATTTTGAATTTTTATTCAAACAAAAAATAGAAGACTTACTATTATGCAGACTACTGCAATACTGTAATAATTGTATAAATAACATCAACCCATTCATGACTGCATATTAGAATGGCTAGTTGGACATTTATTGGACAATGGCATCATTTGTTTACTTTTGAACATTGGTAAAAATCAAACATTTCCCCTACTTTGAGCTCCATTTCTAGGTTCTTTTTATAGTAAAATCAACCAAAATCACCTCTATTTCTATAATATGTTTTCCATTCTATCAAATGAGACCAAGAAAACGAGAATACAATCATAAATACTATACAAAAATAGACCACAAAGTCAGCATTTTAATTAAAAAAATCGGTCGGAGTTTTTTTTTCTCTCATTATGCACTGCGTGCTCCAGGATTTATTTTTATATGGTGCACACTGATCACACAGACCCATTCTCTCACATGTGGGCCTACCAGCTTTCTCCTGCTTGATTTGAAGCCGCTAGAATTTATGAGTATATATACGTCAAACACGGTACCTGTAAGACGTATATATACGGCCGCGACAGTCAAAGGGTTAATAAACACTAACATATCAGAAAGTTCTGAGGATGAGGCTTTGTACAGTTAGCCCCCCTAACAGTGTGAGACATATATATGAAGAAGATCAAATTGAGTAACATACACATTACATGTGACTTTATTAGGCGCAAATATGCTGCACCATTTTAGGCCTCGGCTAAACTATTTGAATTTGCTTGTCACCTCATGCCTTGGAAGAAATGTTGGCCTATGTGGGTCCATGTAATGCATCACATATAACACTGCCTAAGTAGTGCATGCAAGTGCTTATTAATTAGGTTTTGTGTACAGAGCAAACAAATATATTTTTTTTATAAAGGTCTTCAGGGCACAGGTGTCATTGGCACAAAAAAGCACACTAAGCAGATTAAACTTAGGAAAACCCAATAAAAACAAACACTGTGACTCCTAGCAAGATCAAGAGATTTTGTTGCAAAGACAGACTTGTAACAGTGATTAAAGCTGCTCTGAAGGTGAACTCTCAGATTTTGATACAAAGGAAGAATGTATGTGAGCATTAGCTCTTTTATGCAAGATATTGCTGTAGCATCCACTTCAGGCCTTGGTAACTAACCAACAACCAAAGAGAGGAAAAAAAAAAAGATAAATCTATTCTATGAAAACAACAGTGACTGGAGCAGTAATTGCAAAGACAATGGAGAAAAATATTTTTTTTTATTTTTTTTTTATTATCACACTGGCCGATTCCCACCAAGGCAGGGTGGCCCGAAAAAGAAAAACTTTCACCATCATTCACTCCATCACTGTCTTGCCAGAAGGGTGCTTTACACTACAGTTTTTAAACTGCAACATTAACACCCCTCCTTCAGAGTGCAGGCACTGTACTTCCCATCTCCAGGACTCAAGTCCGGCCTGCCGGTTTCCCTGAACCCCTTCATAAATGTTACTTTGCTCACACTCCAACAGCACGTCAAGTATTAAAAACCATTTGTCTCCATTCACTCCTATCAAACACGCTCACACATGGCTGCTGGAAATCTAAGCCCCTCGCACACAAAACCTCCTTTACCCCCTCTCTCCAACCTTTCCTAGGCCGACCCCTACCCCGCCTTCCTTCCACTACAGACTGATACACTCTTGAAGTCATTCTCTTTCGCTCCATTCTCTCTACATGTCCGAACCACCTCAACAACCCTTCCTCAGCCCTCTGGACAACAGTTTTGGTAATCCTGCACCTCCTCCTAACTTCCAAACTACGAATTCTCTGCATTATATTCACACCACACATTGCCCTCAGACATGACATCTCCACTGCCTCCAGCCTTCTCCTCGCTGCAACATTCATCACCCATGCTTCACACCCACATAAGAGCGTTGGTAAAACTATACTCTCATACATTCCCCTCTTTGCCTCCAAGGACAAAGTTCTTTGTCTCCACAGACTCCTAAGTGCACCACTCACTCTTTTCCCCTCATCAATTCTATGATTCACCTCATCTTTCATAGACCCATCCGCTGACACGTCCACTCCCAAATATCTGAATACATTCACCTCCTCCATACTCTCTCCCTCCAATCTGATATTCAATCTTTCATCACCTAATCTTTTTGTTATCCTCATAACCTTACTCTTTCCTGTATTCACCTTTAATTTTCTTCTTTTGCACACCCTACCAAATTCATCCACCAATCTCTGCAACTTCTCTTCAGAATCTCCCAAGAGCACAGTGTCATCAGCAAAGAGCAGCTGTGACAACTCCCACTTTGTGTGTGATTCTTTATCTTTTAACTCCACGCCTCTTGCCAAGACCCTCGCATTTACTTCTCTTACAACCCCATCTATAAATATATTAACCCTTTGACTGTTTCAGGCCCCTCTCTGAAACTGTCATTCTATGTCGCCCAATTTTTGAAAAAAAAAAAAATTATTTTTTCTTATGAAATGATAGAGAATCTTTTCCCGATGGTAATGACACCAAAAGTTCGAAATTTGGTCGAAAACTCGTGGAATTATGGTCCCGCGAAGTTAGCGGTCTCGGCGACATATGCGTATTCGCGATTTCGCCGACTTTGAGCCCAATTTCAGCCAATTCCATTGTTCCAGTTGACCAAACTCATAGCTATTTCTTTAGAACTCCATTTTATCTATCAGCTGAGTACAAGAAACCTCCCATTTACTAATTTGGACTACCCAATATGGTGGTCAGAAATTGGCAATTTGGCCAATTTCACGCAAAATAAAAAAAGATGCCAATTTCAAAATAGGGTCCAGAATAAACAAGGTAGACATTCGTGGCACTAAAATAACATATGCTCTGTTCATTAGTCACATCTCTAGGCCCCTCTTATATTATTATTGCTTTCTATTTTGATTTTTTATTCATAAAAAAAATACAAAATTTACTGTTATGCAGACGACTGCATTATTGTAAAAATGGTATAAATAATATCAGTGCACTAGTGAAAGAATATTAGACTCCCTAGTTGACGTGTATTGGACGTGTGGTGTGATTTATTTACTCTTCAACATTGGTAAAAATCGAACATTTTCGCTACTTTGAGCTTAGTTTCAAGGTCGTTTTCATCGTAAAAGTAATAAAAATCATCTCTATTTCTGTAATATGTTTTCCATTTTATCACCTAAGACCATGAAAACGCGAATACAATGATAAATACTATACGAAAATACACCTCAAAGTCGGCGTTTTATTCCAAAAAAACGATAAGTTTTTTTTTTCTCATTACGCAATGTGTGCTGCAGGATTTTTTTTATGTGGTGCACACTGACCACACAGACCCATTCTCTCACATGTGGGCCTACCAGCTTTCTCCCACTTGATTTGAAGCCGCTAGAATTATTGAGTATATATACGTCAGAAACATTGGCTCGTAAGACGTATTTATACGTCGAAAACAGTCAAAGGGTTAAACAACCACGGTGACATCACACATCCTTGTCTAAGGTGCAAAAATGCTGATTCAAATTTAAGTGATGCTCATACACTGATAAAACAAAAACGTGTGCACTGCTGCACACACATTAGTAATGCCTTGTCTGCTGCTCCACTGTTCTATGGAAAATTCTAAGCAAAAAACCTGTTTTTTTAGTAAAGATATTGATAGTGAAACTGACTGTGCGGATATTGTTTTTAGTACAGTATTAGAACACATCCAATGGAACCAGGATCTGTTGTGCCACCACCAACTCTGCTGCCATCAGCACCTGCTGTACGAACAGCTCTAAATAACATACAACAGCCAGCAAACAGTGTTCTGAAGCCTCACATCTAGAACTGTAATATAAGATTTCCTTATATACAATGTCAGTGAAAAAACAATAAAAATTAAAATAGAAACGATTTTTATCAATTTATATTGTATATGCCATTTTGGTAGGTAGCAGGTTGGTAGACAGCAACCACCCAGGGAGGTACTACCGTCCTGCCAAGTGAGTGTAAAACGAAAGCCTGTAATTGTTTTACATGATGGTAGGATTGCTGATGTCTTTTGTCTGTCTCATAAATATGCAAGATTACAGGTATGTCTTGCTACTTCTACTTATACTTAGGTCACACTACACATACATGTACACATTTATTTATACACACTCATCTGAGTTTTCTTTGATTTTATCTTAATAGTTCTTGGTCTTATTACTTTGCCTTTTATATCCATGGGGAAGTGGAATAAGAATCTTTCCTCCGTA